TTTTGGTTCTCCGTATTAGAGATAATCTGACACATCGGCCGGATGACTTTAACAGGGCTTCAGCTGATAGGTGCATCCATCTGGGATTTATTAAAGAGTTCAGCAGCCATGCCTTCATTTCACCTTAATCTCATACTATGCCATCCTTTACATTTGCTATACAATGTTGTAATACTCATTAATATTTTGTTAAAATTGAGATCCGTGTAACATGTGATTATTGTATCCTTTTTTTTGTTTTATTATAAGCCTAGCTGCATGTTTTCTGGGCAGGGACGCCTTTTACTGTTGCTTTTTTATATCTCTGCTTCTTTTTCCGCGTCTGATTCTGTCTCCATGAACCCCAGTCGGCCTCAGCAGATGGCCGCTCACTCTGAGCCTGGTTCTGCTGGAGGTTTCTTCCTGTTAAAAGAGAGTTATTCCTCCCCACTGTCGCTACAGGCATGCTTATTGTGAGGGATTGCATTGGAGTCAATGAGTCGATGCAATCAGCTGGTTTTCCTTAGATGGGAAACTTTGAATCAATTTGACTGGATGATCTGGTTGAACTGTAAAGAGCCTTGAGATGACATGTGTTGTGAATTGGTGCTAGAGAAATAAACTGAACTGAAAGAATTATGGAACTAATTCCACTCCATAAATTTGATTTATTCAATTTTGTTTTAAATCAGAATAGGGAATTGTGTTTTGTTTAATGAATAAGCTCCGTTAAAATTAGAAATATTACTTTGCCAAAAAGTTCAACTGAACATACCAAAGAGCAGACTTTTGAGTACAGCAGAGTCAATAACAATACAACTCCCATGATGCATCACGTCACCTGCATGTGTAGCTGAGGTTACGCCTCACGCTCCTCTTGAAGAAGCTCTTGCAGCCCTCGCAGGTAAACACGCCGTAGTGTTTCCCGCTGGACTTGTCCCCGCACACCACGCAGTCCACCACGCAGGCCTTGTCCTCATCCCCGGCTTCCATGTCGCTGCCCCCGGCTTGCGGGGAGCCGTCTTCCTCATCCCCCCGCAGGTAGCCCTTGTCCCCGAGCCCGTTGGTGCCCCCGTTGGGATCTCCCCAGCCCCCACTCACCATGGCCATCGCTTGGTTACCAAATCAGCACGGAAGAAAAATGAGGCCAGGCAGCCGAGGGTTCTGGATGCGGTCATAAAAGAGCCCAGAGTCCGGACGGTGCTGTGCGTTTGGGTTTAACACCTCTTCAGCTTCCCTTTTATCTTCATTTAGTGACCAAATAAAGCCCAACTAGTAGTGTGGAAAGTGTTCGGGACAAAAAAAAAGCAGTTTTAGTAGTAAAAATGGGGCCGTTTAGGCGTTAAAAAAAAAAAAACAAGCCCCGCCCACTTCACTATGACCTGGAAATAGAGTCAGAAGGGCAACTTTTACTTCAGCATTCCTTTGGACTTCAACGCCAAAAATTCCCCTCACTCGGTTCAGTGTGTCCGTGTTGTCCCGTAAAAAGGAAGAAACACCGCAGATAAAAAACCTTTAAGAAGAGAAACAGAGTTTAAGTGAAAGAGTGTTTAGAGACAGGCTGCTTCAAAGGCTGAGGGCGGTCCGGCTGCTGTTCTGAGTCCATTCGTCACCCGAGCAGTAATGGCTGAAAAAGGACCTCAGCGCGGCTCGCCTGAGCACATGCCTGAGGAGCGTTTGACCGCCCCCCTTACAGCAGCCCATACCACGCACACAAACAGAAAAAAATAAATAAAAAATACCAAACACAAAATGTGTAACCTTACCTCAACACAAAGAGTTTGTCTTAAGCCGAAAAAGAAAGCCGTTTTTATTTAATCCAGTGAGACAGAGAGCACGGCTCCCCTGTTCTGCGGCGACCTAAGCAGCATTCTGAAGAAATTACACACAAGAAAAAAAAAATGTCACTGCTCGTTTAATCGTTGGCTGCTGTCCTCTTCTTCTTCGCCGGCTGCGGCGGTTGAAGGCGACGCGGACCGCCCGCGGCTTGTCCTCGCATCCAAAACAATCAGATCAGCACACGGGAGGAAGTGCAGCCGATCCACTGGCCGCTGTGTGCGGGTCTGATCGGGATCCTTCCTCACACAGAAAAAAAAAAAATCAGATTAAAGGAGAGCTTTTTGCTCAGCTCTAATCCCTGTGGATGATCTCCAGTCAGGCACCCATGCAGGTTCTCCCTCAGTCCTTTGTCAGTGCTTGCCCACCAAGAACTAATGACTTGCGGCCTTGTATACTGTTTTCCTCTGTGTGTGTGTGTGTGTGTCAGCATGAAGCCTTTTTTCCCTCCCTGTGGCTCAGGAGGAGGGGAGGAGGGGGTGACGATAAGGAATGGGTGCTCCTCTCCCCCCCTCTGCCTCTCTCTCTGGTGCCCAAATCAGATTATAATTTGAAATGCCCCAAGAAGCGAAACACTGCTTAGATTTCTCTGCATCTCATCCTTTTTTCCCTCCAACCTATTTGTGTGTTGGAGAGGGATCCAGCAAATAGAGGCAAAGGGAGGGTGCAGGAGTGTATGTAGAGGGGGAGGGGGCGCTCTGTGTGTTTGTGTGTGTGTGTGTGTGTGTGTGTGCTCCCAGGGATTTGACACTGCTATTCAAGCCCTGTGGTTACCATGGTGCTGGCTGCCTTATATGGCCATTAGAGTCAAAGAGCAAAAGAGAGTGGGCTGTTTGGGTCAGCATACATGCACAAAACACACACACAGATGAAGAATGCAGAGGATATCTCTCATCAGAGATGCAGAACGAGTGACCCCAAAGACCTTAGAAACCACCGCAACCATCCCTCGATTACTGCAAAACCCTGCAGCGAGGGAAAAAAAAAAAACAAACTAAAAAAACAAACCTTTTCCTGATGTGGATGGAGGCAATGAAATATTGCATGTGAATGCTCCAATATGAGCAACAGTCTAGTCAGAAAAAAGGTGTTGAACTTTGTTTCTTGACACCCACGCACTGCCGCATCTTCTCCCGCTTACAGATGATGAGAGTACCCGCTCCCCTTCTGCTTATTGTTTGATGAAAATAAAGGTTATCGCGACGTGGCCAGCTGCAGATCTCTTAAAAGCCGCCCCCCTCCCCTGTCTCAGCACTTTGTGAAGCGCGTGGTGATTTGTGTTTTGAGGTTAACCCAGGAGGTCAAGCTGACTTTCACACACTCTTTGCCACGCTAAAAAAGCCCAGGGTCAAATGCAGATAAAGGGGAGGAGAAGACGCACAGCAACCCCCGGATAAGAGCTTTAAGAGATAAGTGATGAATCTGCTTGTAAATGTGCAGCTTACTGGGCTGTTGGAGGAGGAGGAGGGAGCGTGGACACATGACTGCGTCAGTCCTACCAACGACTCCACGAATACGTCCGATTGTTTGAGCTCTATAGATCGGTTCTTTCTTTTATTTCAAATCTTGGCATCTTTTAGAGCATTCCTTAATCCAAACGGAGCTTCATCCCCCGCATAGCAACAAGCGAAGACAAGCATTGTCCAGTCTATTGGGCTGCTAATAGGTCAACAGGGGGTTGTCTGTGTGTGCCTTAATTGGAGAAAGGCTGCTTAATTAGGCCTCTGTGCTTCCCTTTGTTGCTTCTTGTCTTGAAAACGATTAGGGCTGTCAAATAGGTGGTAGTTAGTTTTAAGAGACAGACTGTTTATGTGTGCAAGGAGATTGAATATTTAGCAGGACTGTAAATCAGGGGTTGAATCTGAAATAAAAAACATTTTCTACTGCAAACCTCATTCTGGCTTTCAAAGAAACTGAATATAACAGATTTTTTTTTTCAAAAAGGATTTAACAACTTCTTTTATGTTTGCCGACAACTTACCGTGGAGCATGAGATCGATAGACGGATCGGTGCAGCATCGGCAGTGATGCGGTTACTGTATTGGACTGTCGTGGTGAAGAGGGAGCTGAATCGGGGGGCAAAGCTCTCGATTTACCGATGGATCTACGTTCCCACCCTCACCTATGATCATGAGATCTGGGTAATGACTGAAAGGACCAGGTAGCGAATGCAACGGGCTGAAATAAGTTTCCTCTGCAGGCTGGCTGGGCGCACCCTTCGATATCGAGTGAGAAGCTCAATTACCCGGGAGGAGCTCGGAGTCATTGCTCCTCCACGTCGAAAGGAGCCAGCTGAGGTGGCTTAGGCGTCTGTTCCAGATGCCTCCCAGATGCCTCCTGGTTGCCTCTGGGTAATGACTGAAAGGACCAGGTGGCGAATACAACGGGCTGAAATAAGTTTCCCTTGCAGGCTGGCTGGGCGCACCCTTCGTGATCGGGTGAAAAGCTCAGTTACCCGGGAGGAGCTCGGAGTCATTGCTCCTCCACGTCGAAAAGGAACCAACTTAGGTGGCTTAGGCGTCTGTTCCAGATGCCTTCCAGATGCCTCCTGGTTGCCTCTGGGTAATGACTGAAAGGACCAGGTGGCGAATACAACGGGCTGAAATAAGTTTCCCTTGCAGGCTGGCTGGGCGCACCCTTCGTGATCGGGTGAAAAGCTCAGTTACCCGGGAGGAGCTCGGAGTCATTGCTCCTCCATGTCGAAAGGAACCAGCTTAGGTGGCTCAGGCGTCTGTTCCAGATGCCTTCCAGATGCCTCCTGGTTGCCTCTGGGTGATGACTGAAAGGACCAGGTGGTGAATACAACGGGCGGAAATAAGTTTCCTCTGCAGGCTGGCTGGGCGCACCCTTCGTGATCGGGTGAGAAGCTCAGTTACCCGGGAGGAGCTCGGAGTCATTGCTCCTTCACGTCGAAAGGAGCCAGCTGAGGTGGCTTAGGCGTCTGTTCCAGATGCCTCACAGATGCCTCCTGGTCGCCTCTGGGTAATGACTGAAAGGACCAGGTGGCGAATACAACGGGCGGAAATAAGTTTCCCTTGCAGGGTGGCTGGGCGCACCCTTCAAGATCGAGTGAGAAGCTCAGTTACTCGGAAGGAGCTCGGAGTCGTTGCTCTTCCACGTCGAAAGTAGCCAGCAGAGGTGGCTTAGGCGTCTGTTCCAGATGCCTCCCAGATGCCTCCTGGTCGCCTCTGGGTAATGACTGAAAGGACCAGGTGGTGAATACAATGGGCTGAAATAAGTTTCCTTTGCTGGGTGGCTGGGTGCACCCTTCGATATCGAGTGAGAAGCTCAGTTACCCGGGAGGAGCTCGGAGTCGTTGCTCCTTCACGTCGAAAGTAGCCAGCAGAGGTGGCTCAGGCGTCTGTTCCAGATGCCTCCCAGATGCCTCCTGGTCGCCTCTGGGTAATGACTGAAAGGACTAGGTGGCGAATACAAGGGGCTGAAATAAGTTTCTTTTGCTGGGTGGCTGGGTGCACCCTTCGAGATCGGGTGAGAAGCTCAGTTACCCGGGAGGAGCTCGGAGTCATTGCTCCTTCACGTCGAAAGGAGCCAGCTGAGGTGGCTCAGGTTTCTGTTCCAGATGCCTCCTGGTCGCCTCTCTCTGGAGGTGTTCCAGGCATGTCCCATTGGGAGGAGGCCTCATGGAAGGCCCGGGACACGCTGGAGGGAATATGTCTCTGAGCTGGCCTGGTGTCGCTTCGGGGTCTCCCCAGAGTAGCTGGAGGAGGTGTGTGGATCAGGAAGTCTGGGCATCTCTGCTTAGACTGCTGCCTCTCCGTCCCGGCCCAGGATAAAACGGAAGAAAATGCTGATGCTAATCAATTAAAAGGTCTATGTGTTACTAAAGCCATGCTTATTGCGTAATGCAAATGTAAAGGATCGGAAAATACAGTTAAAACTTTGTACACTGCACATTTTTTTGACCTAAGCAGCTCAATTTAACTGTAAAACCAAAACTGCAGTTGCATGAACCGAGTGATTAAGTCAACCAATCTTTAGAATTAAAGGAATAGTACACCCAAAACATGATTAGCCTTCATTTTCTACTCACCCCCATGCTGAACAACACTCTGGAGTACTTTTTTGATATCTCAAATGCATCTGGAGATCTGGGAGTTCTTGCTGTCTGCTGACATTCAAATAATGGAGGTCTATGGCGCCCGAGGCAGAAAGGTCCATAAAAGTCCACAAAAAACGTGTCAATATTCCTCCATACTGCTCGTCCAATGTATTCCAAGTGTCCTGAGTGGGTAGCGTCCATAATTTACTCGAAACGAAGTCATTTAGAATGTTTTTAGAGCATAAACAGTAGTGTATAGGATTTCCTAAAAGCGCGTTCACGAGTCTACGGAAACCGCGGCAGACCAAACCAGATGAAAGTGCGCATTCAGCGTCTGCTCTGCCGATAATGCAAGCGTAGAAGAAGAAATGTGCTGTTTACCTGTGCAAATAAAGAAACAACGAAAGAAAAATGTCTGAGGACTTCAGTGTTGAGGAAGAGCATGAGTTCTTTGCTGAGCTGAATGCGCACTTTCGTCTGGTTTGGTCTGCCGGTGTCCGTAGACTCGTGAACTCACATGCGCACGCTTTTAGGAAATCCTATACACTACTGTTTATGCTCTAAAAACATTCTAAATGACTTCGTTTCGAGTAAATTCTGGATGCTACCCACTCAGGACACTTGGAATACATTGGACGAGCAGTATGGAGGAATATTGACACGTTTTTTGTGGACTTTTATGGACCTTTCTGCCTCGGGCGCCATAGACCTCCATTATTTGAATGTCAGCAGACAGCAAGAAGCCTCCCAGATCTCCAGATGCATTTGAGATATCAAAAAAGTACTCCAGAGTGTTGTTCAGCATGGGGGTGAGTAGAAAATGAAGGCTAATCATGTTTTGGGTGTACTATTCCTTTAATAATTTGAATGTTATAATGAGCCCTGCGATAGACTGGCGACCGAGACTGCCTCTCGCCCGTAGAAAGCTGGAGATGGGGACCAGCAGCCTTTACGACCCGCTTAGGATAAGCGTGACAGAAAATGGATAGATGGATGGATGTTATAATGATTGTGAATGACATGACTCCAAAGAACAGTTGGTCCCATTATTACTTTCCTGGTAAAAATAGTGCTATCTAGACATGTAAATATTGTTGTTATTTCTATTTTTAACATCTACCATGGTGATGTTCCTTTGGAAAAAGTTGCAATATTTATCTCTATTCCCATAACATTCCTGAAACACTTGTGTTTTTATTGCAACATTACATATGTCCAGATGTATTTATGTCAGCTGTTTGTCTATGTGTAGAACTTTATCACCAAAGCAATTTCCTAATATGCGTAAAACACTACTGGTCTATAAAGAGCCAAACACCCAGGACTAATATATTTTTTTAAATTAATGTTGTTAGAGTTCTTTGCTTTCAACTGCAACGACTGCGTCCGGACATGCCCTAAGGTATGTTTAATCAATGACCTGAAATAAGCTAATTATTTCTGCATTTTCATCTATTCAACAATCAATTCCACCCTAATTCACAGCGATGATGCTACAGACGCCACTACAGCCCCATCCTGGTGTCATTCACCGCAAAACTAAAATCAAAACAATGGAGGCTACAGAGGTTTTGTTGACTTCATTGCTTTAGATTATTTTCGCTCTCAGTTTTAAGGCAAGAAACTTTGAGACAATTGATTGCTTTTAAAATATAGCCAAACATTTTAATATTTTTTAATGTGGGGTGGGGGGTGCTTATCTAATTTTCTGAATATCACAAACAAATTCACATAAGAACTTTTTTTTAGGCCCAATTGGAACTCTCTGGCAGCGTCTGCTGCGTCTGTTTAGTAAATATCTTAAAAATACTTTGTCCCCACTTATAACAACAAATAAAGCCAAGCAACTGTCTCTATTGCATCTGCGATTGTAAAAAGATACCATCGACGAGAGTTAGATCCATTTGTACACCCTTGGCTTAATGCAAAGTCTGACTTTACTGTGAACAAGCACTTAAGTTTAGGCTTTGGATGCCTTTTTGATGCTCAAAATGTGTTTGGTGTGAATGCAGTATAAATATTCTTGGAGAGATCTAAGGGGTGAATTTTTTTATTTATTATTGTTGCAGGCAAATAACCTGTTTTATAAATAGAAAAAAACAACACATTTTGTAAATGGAAAATAATAAATAAGGTTTTAACTAGGGATGCCCCGATCCCAATCTCAAGATCGGATCGGCCCGATTTTTTCCTTTTTTCCTGTGATCGGAGCTTGGCTACATTACGTGACTAGTCACGCCGATCTTTACGGCAACTGCCGTAAAGTACCCACTAGTTACGGTTGACAGTAGTTGTCCAGTGGATCAGGAGGGTCGAGGTGGTGACAGTCCGCAAATTAAGTACTCCTCTGGTAATGACCCAACGAGCCGCAGGTGTGCAGGGAGGCCCAACGAGAACAGGGCACCACCTGGTGGTGGGGAGATGAAAAACACAGAAAAACAACCCACACAAACTGGAACCCTAACAAAAACGTTATCCACATTTTTAACATTTAATTTTTTTTCAAATTTAATTGTTCATCCAATTATTTATTTTATTTTTATTTTTTATAGATTTTACATCTTTAAATTTGATTTTTTTTTAGATCAAATTTTAAGGATTGCATTCTTTTCATATTGTATTACAGATCACTACTGTAGTTGTTTACTTTTGTGGTGATCTGTACAATGCAAGAAGAATGCAATTTCTAAAACTTAATCTATAAAATAGAAATAAATTTGTATAAAAATATAAAGTTCAAAAATAAAGTAAGAAAAAATGAAAACAATTTGAAAAACTAAAATCTGTTAAAAACAGCAGAGTTACTTTGAAAACCATTTAAGAAAAAAAATTATAGCAAAAACATTGTACACATAGCCTTTTTCAGCAAATAGCAACCGCTGCTAGTTTATCTGAAGGATTTATTTCACGAACAGTTTTGTAATTGCCCCCGATTGCCAACATGTTAGCAGCTATCTTATCATCTTACCAAAAAACACCCAAATCAGTTATTCTCTATAGCAGAATCTATAGCAAAGATGCAGTTATGAGGGAAGCAGCTTACTTCAGCAGAAAAAGACAAGCACTGCAGTCTTCATCCACATTAAATCCCAAATGTAATTCCATATGTGCAGTACAGTAGCTTGCTTTATTCCTTTGCTTCATTTATTATTTATCACTCATTTTCTTTGTTGCAGCTATTTCTATATTTAGATTCTCACTGTAAGTGAGTGTAAAACATGTTAAATAGCTCCTAACATACATGTAGGGGTCTGCTCCTGTCCAAGCAGCCAAGGTACACTGCAAAAACGATCTAAAAATTAGTAAAACATGTCTTAAAATGAGTAAAAAACGTCTTAAATTAAGTGTATTTACCCTTAATTTAAGCAGGTAAATGAGATGGTTTGCCAACGGAATGAGCAATTTTACTCTTAAAATAAGATATTTAGATAATATGCACTTGAAATAAGACAATGCAATTGTGTTTTCTAATTTTTTGTGTAAATTGTCTTGTTACACTGCCAAAATGTCTCCTTTACCTCCTCAATCCAAGAACAAATGCACTTATTTAAAAAAAAAATTACTTATCTAGATTTGGATTTTTTTCCAGTGTATGATCGTTTATTGTGACTTTTATGTCACCAAATGTTTTTCTTTCTGCCTTTTTACCTTGTTAGGGTCTCTGTTGTTGCCGACTTTCCCTTTTGCTTCTGTGAACCATCTTAAAGACGGAGACAATGAAGAGTCCAAAAAAAAAAGGCAAAATCTGAAAAAAATTACTCAAAATACTGGAATGATTTTATATTATCACTTTAAAGGGGAAAGCCATTTTTTTTTACATTGGCCCCTCTATTTTACGTTATTCCATCATGTTCTACTCACCCATATGAGTTTTGTGTCATTTGGAGCCGTTCTGAAGATATTAGGTTTTGTTATATCCAAGTCTTCTTCGGATGCCCCCTGGACGCCTCCCTCGGGAGGTGTTCCAGGCACGTCCCACCGGGAGGAGGCCCAG